AGGTGGAGGGGGTTGGGTGTAGTCCGATACACGCTCGCTCATCCGAAAAGGAGGAGAAACAGCCGAGAAATCACCAACTCAATCATGGGGGGTAAGATGTATGTACTACTCCAAACCGACCATTCATGGCTCAAAATGACCGCAAGACGATGAAGAACCTCTCTGTGAAAGAGCGGACCGATGAAAGTGTGATCCCATCGAGAAATACAGACATTTTTGTTGAGGAAATGATGTGTCGGCCCGCAGATGGATAACCTCGGCTATAGCCTGATTGGTTTCACAACAATTTTGATTGTCTATCTTCTGAGATGATCGACGGATTTCGTAAATTTGAGTGACTTCGAGCGAGAAAAAAAGAGTCAATGGGCTTCTGAGAGGCTCCTGTGATTCATTCACCGCAAGATATCACTCCCAAAGTCGCTGGAAAACAAGTGGGTCAGCTCTGTAGTACGTATAAGCGGGTCAAACGCGTAAGTGGGTCAGCCCTGTACTGACCCACTTACGCGGTCCGGACTGTATCATCCATCCTTTTTCGTCGTTTCAGAGTCGTTTGAGCGGGGAAAAAAGAGTCAATGCGATGGAGGGTGGCTCTGGTGAGTCATTCATGGCGAGAAACCCCGCAGAAAACAAGCAGCAGATAAAGCAATCATTGCCTTGTTCGCATAAACCCATCAAATCCATAAAGCAATCACCCCTGTACTGATTGCTTTATGCGATACTTACTGTAATATGGACGCCATGGGGTGAGTCATCAAATCAGCGACGTTCTCACGGTCTTTTCTCTTCCAACAGGAGACACTCTTGTTGGGCAAAGGGAAGGATTATATGACGCACGCCGGCAGCGATGACCTTCGGGTGAAGCAGAACTAACGATCTGTAGATGCCCAGCCATTCATCTCTCTCTCTCTCTCTCTTTCTCACTCCTGTGTGCAGGATGACAATGACAATGACAATCTGTCGACGTCCGGTGAGACCTTGTCAGAGGCGGCCCACAGGACGACTTAATCGTCGATGCTGTGATGACGGGAGGCCCGGGAGGCAACACGTTCGTTCTCCGGGACGATCTTGACAAGGACAAGCAGATGGGACAATGCGAGGTGACACAACGGCAGCACACATCAACGCATCCTGTTACTTTTTGCCATTTTCACCAGCCAGTGTTGATTGTGGCCAGCATTCTCTCTCTGGGTGGATGGGTGGGTGGAAATGGCGGGTGGGTGGGTCGGTCATTCTTATTGTGCGTGACTGTCGATGGAACTCCCGCGAACGCGGGTCGACGAACGGGTACGAGGGGGTAGGGGCCCTCTCGTAACGGAAGGCGATCGGAAAGGGACACCTTACAAAATTTCGCGGATCGAAATATACACACTAACATCCAATTAGCTCGCATAGCTCGCACATCCCGGCTCCAAAAGGAGGTGGGCAGCATCGTGTGATGCGATTTGGCGGCCATTCCTGAAGATCTGGGAAAGCTGAATGAAGAGGTGCTTGCTCGTGATCGACGATGCTGGCCGAGAAACCAAAAATCGGCTCCACTTGTGTGTGACTGAAGAGAGGGGGCAGACGGCAAAGGGAGGTGGTGATGCGGACGACGCATTGTCGCCCCCTCCCCTTGTCGCCCCCTCCCCCTTGAATGGGGGAGGGGGCTGCAAAAGGTCAACTTCCATGAGTCAGTGGTCACAGGCAGAATAGAGCGGGTCGACCACAGAGTGATTGAAGGTGATGATGGCTGTCATGTAGGATTCCGGCACACGGATCTACTCGTCTGGGCGCTCCTGTGTTTGCCTGGCAGGTGCGTTGATGTTTCGTTTGGCCGCATTGCCGCCTTCTCTACTGCACGGTGAGCTGATGGCCGTCACGCAGGATTCTGGCACACCAATGTACTCGTCTGGGCGCTCCTGTGTTTGCCTGGCAGGTGTGTTGATGTTTCGTTTGGCCGCATTGCCGCCTTCTCTACTGCACGGTGAGCTGATGGCCGTCACGCAGGATTCTGGCACACCAATGTACTCGTCTGGGCGCTCCTGTGTTTGCCTGGCTGGCTTGTTGATGTTTCGTTGAGCCGCATTACCTCTCACTGTGCCGTTGAGCCGCATTACCTCTCACTGTGCTTATACACATATGCTCCCACATGTGTGCTCCAGTATGCGGGCCTTCCCGCATTCATATGTGTATGCGCCATGCGCCATTGATCCGTACATCCATAGCATCTGAGCACAAAGCTTTTGTCGTGCCCATGCATGTGTGCGTCCTTGCGTGTTTCATTGTTAGTTGATACGCCGACGGATGGCAATTCAGTGAGTGTCTATACAGCGTACAGAGCATATTGAGCGGGTCAGCTAAATATGGGTCAGAAGGATAGAAGTGCGAGAGATGTCTGACTACTGCTAAAGGTCTCTTGGAGCCGGTCCGCCGCTCCTCGCCCTTGCTTGTGTCGCACCAGTAGCGGTGGGATACCGATGGTGTAGCATTCATATTGCTTCCTGGCCGTCCGTCCGTCTATCTCAGTCTGTCTCCCTTCATGCTTCTCTTCACACTACTTCACGCCTCCCTTCCAATTTTTCATTTTTTTTACACGGAAGCATCGGGGACCAGTACGTCTGATCTAGAGTCTGTATGGATTTGCACACACACACGCAAAGACACAGGCACTCGCAGAAACACATGCGCACCATACGACATGAATATCCCTTCCAATCGCCTTTTCCAGTGTGCCTGCTTTTGCTTAATTTGGTATCGCGCACGTCCCAAGTGGCAGTCTTTTTTGCAGACCTCTCACCTTTCGAGAAATGATGGGGGGGAGGGGGAAGATTGACACAAACAGAAGCTACCCGCATGAAAGAACCCTCAAAAGGATGAGAAACCCCATGAGTTTCTCCTCGATCGGCGGATGCTGTGTGTCTTACCTGCGCACACACAACACGGACACTGACCATGCAAAACAGACACGTCCACGCAACCCCATAACACACATCGGGCCGGGAGGCGACACGTTCATCCTCCGGGAGGGCCCCGAGCCTGCGGAGTGGCACGACACAACATACTGACCAGCAGGCAGAACCAGGCATTTTTCCGAAACCCAGAGGCATCAAGGGAAACCTCAGAGCCGCCAATAATACGAACGCCGTTTCGTTTTCGAACACCTAAATCTCGTTTTCGCTGTGCCGCTCATGTTTCTTCTTTCCTCCGCTCTTCTCCCTGGAGTGCGCCGGACCCTCGGTTTGTCTACCGCGTTTCTTTACGTCGCGCTGATGTTGGGGAGCGCGAAGAGCGCCGAGGTGCACGCCGCCTTAGCTTTGGGCCTGCTGAATTCGCTTATCCCTCTGGCGTCTCTCGCTGCCAGCACATTCTTTCTCCGAACACTTGTTTCAACAGGCCTCTGGTAAGCGAAAAGAGGTGTTGGACTGCGTAATATGCCAATGTTTGTTCGTTCAGGGAGGGCGTCTGCCGTGTGACAAGAGAGGAATGCAGATACGCTCCTGCAGCAGAGCTGGCTATATTTGCTGTAAGCCTCGCAGCCGTGGTAGAGGGCGTTGTCGGGTAACTCATATTGGACATCGCTTGGAACTCCGAGCCGCTGGTTCCACGTGTTCAGGTTTGGGAGTGGGGCAGCATTCGCCGCCGTGACCTTGCACTCTCTCGGTTGGCCGCGTCGGTCTGCCCTTATGGCGGGAGGTTCTCTTGCCACCCTCTCTGCAGCGGGAGGTACGAGTGGCATGCCCATGTGGTTTGGACTTCAGCTGGACGCGAACACCCCAATTGCGATAAAGACGATGGCCCTAATGGCCTTATTGTCGCTGGTATGAGGTTTGAACGGAGATGGGCTCATGTTTGACCCTGTCTCCTTTCCACAGGTGTCTCCCATCGTCGTTCTTCGCCATTGTGTTGATGCATCATCCGCTGCATTCTGTCAGAGCATGGTTATCCCCGTGTTGCTCTTCTCGTCCCTTGGTACCACCCTGCCAGCAGCCTTGCTCTCATTGGTTGACGTCAAGCTCAGCCTCATTGGTGGAGGTATCATAGGCACTTTTGCCGCACTCATAGCCACCCGCTTCCTTCTTCGTCTGAGTGAGGATCCCCCGAGTTCCAGTGAGGGCCCGTTCAACAACGATGAGGGATCAGACGATGGCTCCATTCACTCGGACTCATTATCTGAGGGAGGTCGGTATCCGATGGACATGGCTGGCGGAATGACACATTTTCCGAACAGAGACACGCCTTCTACGCGGACTGCGACATCCATGACGATACAGAGTGGGTCCGAGCGACCGATCACTCGTATTCCGATTGTACATCCCAGGTGCAAAAACGACAGATCCCCAGGTGCATGTACGATAGATCAGCGCATAGCAGAAGGGAGCGACGGCGATTTCCGGGAGGAAGAGAACGCACCGAAAACCCAAGATTGCCCCCGGGTTGACTTGCCATTGGGCTTAGGTAAGGAGGAGTGAACAAACAAGAAGGCAGCCAAGGCGATGACACTTTGTCTCGCACCCCTCATGCATTGTGGCAGGCTACAACCATCAGCTGGAGGACAGCCTACCAACGCCAAATTTCCCTGAACTGGACACAGAGCAGCTGACGGCACAATGGCCGTTTGCACTGGCAATGAGCAGTCCCTCGACCGACGAAACGCCCTTGGGGAGTGACTATATTGGCTCCTTCGCTCCCAATGAGTGTTTGCCAGTCCAGCGTGCCCTATGGGTGCTGAGAGGATGTGTCGCATGTGATCAATCCAATTGTCATCACAGCAAGTCTTGCGCCAACACCCAGGCGTCGCGGAGCAGAGGTAGGACACTAGAAGACACAAGGAGCGATTATGTGTCCAATGAGTGTCTGCGTGCATGTAGCCTCTTCCGAGAGCGCCATCTCAGTGGCTTCGCTGTTTGAAGTCAAAGTGGCCGCTGACTCTGGTGAAAGTCGTTGTGTCGCCCCGCTTTCCCTCGCCCGGCCTACGTCGATGACGTACCCTGGCCCCTCGATATGGCAGTCGACAGTTGCTGCCGATGGCATGAAGCAGGGTGCGGGATTGAGGAGGGACACTAGGAACGTCAGGCTGCAAACCCCTGTATTCCCCGACGAGGAGCAGGGGAGTCTGGAGAAGAGGCTACGGGAATGGCATCGCAAGGACGCAATGCGTCAGGCATACGGCAGCCGCATGCCTATTATACTCTCTGACGAGGAAGCCGAAAGAGCGCTTGGCACAGCAGAACTCTTAGGCGTCGATCAAGTAAAGACAAGATTTGCAGTAGTTGCGAGCAGGTCCGTATACGTCTATCTATATCTATCTGTCCGGTGTTTTCAGAGATCCTTCAAGCAGACGCACAAGCTCCAACGGAACCGCATGCAGCTGTGCGTTGGAGCACTAGCAGCTGCTTTATGCGTCTTCGGTGTGACGCCCCACCTTCTCCCAGCTCCTGAGAGCGAGGCGATGCTGTTGGAGGTAGGGCGACCAAGGCGCGCTGAAGATGGGAAGTTTCATTCTCCTTTTTTGACAGGTGTCGTTGGGTAGCTTTGGCAAGCTCTCCTTATCCGAATCACTCGCTATCAAGGTTGATGACATCTTTGGAGTATCGGAGGCGCGGTGGGATTTTCCCACTCTCTCGCTCCCATTCATCTTTCCTTTCACTCTTCTCGCTGTCGCCATTCTCGTTATCACAAGGTAGTGCGTACATTCACGGCTGGCCGTCGTCTTCTGTGTATTCTGTGGTGCGAACGTTCCTAACATTAGGACATCCCCCATGGTTCCCCTGAAGGATTTGTATCGAATGCTTCAAGGTCCTGCAGCTGCCGTGGTGTTTTCCGTGGTTTTCGCACAACTCTTCAACTCATCTTGCTGGGAAGCCTCCAGCCCTGCGGAGATCATCGCTATTGCAATTGCGCGGCGACTAGAAGGGATTGCCCTGCGAGAATTGCTAGTGGGGTGGCTGCTGTTCTGCTGTGGCCTTCTCACAGGGCTGAGCACTGGCAGCGTTCTGACCAGCAATTTAGCGCTCAGCGAGTTTGCCTTTACCATAGCAACACATTTGGTAACGAGATGACGGAAAGCACACCTCTAGACGTCTCAATTTGGCGTAGCATGCTGTAGGGTCTGGATGCTTCACCTCCAATCACAATGGTGGTGGTTGGGGGTGCCTTGGGGCAGGGCTTCTCGTGCGAAAACCTTCTTGCGAGCGACAAAAACATAAACACAGCTGCGGCTCAATCATCAGAAGGTATTGTTGTGCAAAGCTGGTGTCCGACGCAAAGGAAGAAGCGTGTGTGCCCATGGCTGTCTCAGCCGATACCCTACTGTCGTGGTCTTTTTTCAAAGAGCACTATTTCATTCTTTTGGGATCCTACATCGGTAAGAGCACTTTCTAAATCCATACTTTGGAAGAAGGCTTTCCTTTCTCATTTGTCCATTTCCATTTTCTCATTTGCAGTCCTGACTTGCTGTGTGGGTGTGCCCATTGTCGTTTGGGCTTTTTGAAGAAATCCCTCCCGCCTCGAAACAATGTCTCCGATCACGGATGAAGCGGTGCCGCATCCGAATACCCCAGGACCGCAGACCATGTGGGCGAAGGGCACCAAATGGCGCCCGAAGCGCCGCAGGCATGTCAGCCAATCATGACGGATTAAGCCTTGAATGTGCTTTGAGAGCGGAGCGGGTGTACGCGAGCGAAGCGAGCGTCATGGTTGCCGTTTATGTAGTGTCTCTGGGGATCTCATCTGCCGTAGTAGGATTGTGAACAGCTGTCTTTTCACAATCGAAGCGCTGGTGATGAGCATATGGTATTATTTACCGTGCTGAAGAAGGGGGTCACATCGCATCGTGAAATGGACATTACGAGCGCTTGTCATTCGCGACGTGACTTTGCCATTATGTCCTGTCTAAACGCAAGAGAGAGGGGCATTTATCCCTCAAAAGACGTGAGGTTTGTAATGGGTCGTACACATTCACGGTGTTGAACAAAGTGCCATTGCCTCAGTCTCCAGCATTTAGCGCAAAAAGTGCTCAGCGGGATCTTCACCACTAATGTTGGCCGTGTTGTTCACAAAGTTTCGGCTCGATAAAGAAACTCGACCGATCCTCTTCCAGCCAATTATAGATGTAGCGGTATCTATGCAAGTATAAGCAGTAGACGAACATACCGTAGTAGTAGGTATTGGTCTTTAGTCAAAGCAACAAATCATGTCTTCATCTGCCCCTCGCCTACGTAACACACACCATACCTTTCTATATGTACAAATCCAGACAAATACGTGCGATTCCTGTTAATTATCGTTTCCAGTCATGCCATCCATCGTGACCGAGTTGTTGAATTATTGCGTCAGGACGAGCACGGTGCTCAAAACACGGTCTCACGAGAAACAGACTCCTTATCATTCTAACAGGCTCGTAACCTGGATGAGTAAAGGTATGCGACTTGCAGTCACCGCAGTCACAGCAGGAACAGAAGTCCGCTGCCGAGCTAAGCTTGCGGGCTCGTGGGTACATTTTGAGCTTCCGATGCTAGCTCGTTGAGCGCTATGAAGACAATGATGCTTCATCCGGACAGACAATTTTCTACCAAATCGGGGAAAAGACGCATGAAAGCAGCTCATGTTTTTCGGGCTCTTCGCGCACATGTTTTTCGGGCTTTTCGCGCACGTGGGCTTCTGTTTTCTCTATAAAACCAGAGGCAGGGCGCAAAACTGGCGCGGCCTCAAGCGACTTGTTTGAGACCCGCCACTTGAGACGTGCGCGACAGCAAAAATAAGAGAGGGAGGTACAGAGCGTGGGAGGCAGGAAAAAGGCGACAAGAACGGAAGCATAAAGAGAGACACGAACCGAGACAGACAAGCAAGGAGGGAGGGACAGAGGGAGGGACGCGACGACAAAGGAAAAGAAGAAAGTTTAGGCATACTATTTTCAAAGAAATTTTCATAGAAAATAGTATGTCAGGACCAGAATCGGTCGTAAGCCGTGGGCAGAAACCCGACCCCTGTTTCAGTCTCTTTACTTGCACTGTCAGGTGCGTCAACGTGCCATTCGTGTGGCGGTACGTGCTGTGTTTCAACAGGCTATGGCTACGTGGCCGAGTCGCGCATGTCTACCCATACATCACCACAGCCATGAACTACCATGATGGTTGCTCGTTATCGCAGCAGGCCACAGCGCCAACCGCGGCACAAGGGTCCACTCGAAAGGAGGTCGTGGATTGTCCAGCCTGAACTGCCTTCTTGGCAACAGTGTCGATACGCCGATGAGCCGCCGCCTTCCCGAATGGCTCGTCGGTATCTGTTGAAAAGGACGTCCAGGTGACATGTACCATTTCGACGCCTTTGACTGGTCATGTGGTGTTAGGTTGGAGTTTTTTCTGCACCGCTTGAGTCGCTCTTCTGCACAGGGTCTCATCGAAAGGGGCGGCGACTTCCCAGTCTACCGCATCAACCACGAAACGGTAGCGGTCTTGTGTTGCTTGCAGTACTACAGACACGCCAATATGTCGAACAGCTTCGTGCCTTTGTATCCGTTTGGATCAGAAGCGTTAAACTGATGTAGCCTAGTACGCATAATTGAACCACCACTTCGCACGTTCTTTTCGACCCCCGCCCAATTCGCGGCCCGGGGTGCCCACGCAGTGGGTGCCCCTTACTCGGAATTGGCCTAGAGCCCAATTTGCGCCTTTAAGAAACAACACGTCCGGCAGACAAAACGTTCGATCACGATCGTATGGAAGAGAAAAGGAAAAACGGTAGCGGTGTTGTGTTGCTTGCAGTACTACAGACACTTCAATATGTCGAGAAGCTTCGTGTCTTTTTGTCACGTTTGGATCAGTGAACGTCAAACTGATGTACCCTAAAGCGATCAGCTATTGAACAAAGCTTCGCCGTCAGGCCGTCTAGGGTGCTCCCTGAAACCGCTGCTGCTTGAAAAAGCTCGCGCTTCCTTTCCTCAAAGTCAAGGGTATATCTGGGCGCGAACTTCCTAAAAAGTGCAAGATCCATAACGGAAGTAAGCATCAGGGGCCTCATTTCCGCACCCACCATTGCCGAGCATCACGTGCACGACATCTCCCACCAGCCCACGAGCTCAGCGCTATTCCGTGCCAACTATCCTGCCCTTTGTGCGTCGTCGTTTGAACCTCTGGTTGACGGCCACTTCCCCAGGGGCCTCATTTCCGCACCCACCACTTCCGAGCATCACGTGCACGACATCTCCCACCAGCCCACGAGCTCAGCGCTATTCCGTGCCAACTATCCCGCCCTTTGTGCGTCGTCGTTTGAACCTCTGGTTGACGGCCACTTCCCCAGGGGCATCACTTATGTGCACTCTATATGTCAAGGGTTGATGATCTATGACGGACTCGGTGGGTGGTCGGGCAGAGGGTTACATTTGGCATGCTTGCAGTGATTGAATGGAAGGGACAGCCAGCTAGTTTTTAGTTTGCATTCTTGATGGACTCCTCGTGCTGACGCGCTTTCCGTTAATCCCGTGCACGCATCAAGTAAGCATCAACTGACTGGACACACGAAACGCGCCAGTTCAGTTTGGTGGTGGACGGGATGTTTCTCCTGTGTCCGTTCATGCAGCTTGTTGAGCTTGGCCAGCTCTTCACGCAGGCAGTCAGGCCATTCTTGCCTCAGCCACTTCTCATCAAAGTCCCGCGCAACGTGGAGGTCTTCGAGGGACGTCACTCTCGACAGCGCCACAGATGGCAAGAGGAATCGTTGCCTTCGTCTGGTAAGGAGGAGGGTTGAATTCACACAGGATCATACTCTCTCCAAACGAAACGAATCATCGCAATCCCTTTTGTCCTTCTTGGGTGCTTTTGCGCAGGTCCCTCGGTGCCGCATCGACTTTGTCAAGGTTCTGGCGGTTGACGAAAGAGATCTCGTCGACTATCATGTATTGTCTGCTGCTCACCATCGATTGTCTGCTGCTTCACCGCTTGGCGCCGCAGCCTCTTCTCGTCGCTCTCGAAGTCATCGAAGAGGTGCAGGAGCGAATCGATTGTCGAGCCTTTGATGTTATCTGCAGCCACACCGTAAGTGCCGCCAGACACAGCCAATGTCTGCATTGCAGTACAGCTTTGGCGACGGTCTTGCAGGTGCCGCCCTTGCCGGTCATGCGCAATGGCGCGATGTATTTATTGTCCCCCAGGTCTTTGTAGTGGTTAAGCAAGTGGCTGCAGATGATTGGAACGCCCGCATCTGCTCTTCGTTCAATCGGTAATGGCTCGCCTACTGGACAGAGAAGGTCCTGTCGTCGGAACGGCTTGAATGCGGACGCCGGCTGCGCCAGCAGTCAGAGTGAGGTCGGCAGCATCCATCGAGTGACCAAGGTGTGTGAAGAGATTCGAAGACAAGCCACTCAGGAGGCTTGCTTCATCTGACGTGACACGGGCGGGTGTGGCCGATTTTACTTAGCTTGTTGTGTTGCTGGTGAAGGTCATTGTTGGGCTGATCCTGGCGGCTCCCATTTGATTGACAGGCCGATTGACAGTCATCAAATGACAATAGGCTCACATCCAATTGCATCCAGCGATGCACTGTCATACTTGGCGAAGCACGTCTTCAACACGGGCGCAACAGGAGCGGCAACATGGGGGGTGTCTTGTGTTCTTGGTGCAGCCACTCTGAGTACGTGCATGTTATCGCCACATCTGTCTTCACGTCTGTCTTCAAGATGTGTATGTTTTTCAAGCTCTCGCCAGTATTGTCTGCATGTTTCTGAAACTCTCGCCATTGTTGCATGCGTCGTCGTAGTTCTCGCCAACACTCATGCTGTGCACGTCTCTGTGACGCATAATTGAACCACTACTTCGCACGCTGCTTTCCCCCCGCCCAATTCGCGGCCCGCGCGTGGGTGCCCCTTACTCGGAATTAGTTGATGGATGAGGTTTAGGGTAAAGTTGAGGCAGGAGGGATTGCCACTAGTGCACACTAGTGGCAAGTAATTTTGGGGGGGTGGTATACACTATACCCCAATACACCTTATAAGCTTACCACCCACCCCATGTATTCCACCAATACTAAGCTACTAGTATACTGGCCCGCATCCCGCACATCACATGTGTACTAAGCTAGTAGTATACTGACACCCATCTCGCACATCAGATGTGTACTAAGCTACTAGTATACTAACACCCATCCCGCACAACACCCATCCCGCACGTCAAATCGCAAAAAGGTAGTGCTGGCGAGAGTCTGTATTTGTTCGTGAATGTGTAAATACATTAACTCAGAGCGCAACGACAGGAAGACTCTGTAGGTCTCTGATGAAATGAAGTGCGTCAATCGACCAACCCTCAATCATGCGCAGCACCATCCTCAGCGCCCGCCTGGCGTATCTTCCAGCGGCGCCGCCCACCACGCACACACATACTCGCACTACGCGCCAACGCAACAGACAGTCGCCAGCAACCAGGCGGCTGAAAAACGAATAAGCCTCTCTGCCGCACACACCATCCAACGTCACGCACAAGGGGGTGAAGTGGATGGACTTGTCCTCGCACATACGGCTCAAGTCCTCGCACATACGGCTGTAGTGAGCCTTCTTAGTCTTGGCCTTGTTCTTGAGGACGGAGGCGGTCGATTGATTGCTTGTTCGCTGAATCGTTGTGCTCTTCTGAAAGAAGCAGACAAGAGGCACAAAATATCGAGAAACGGGCTGTGGCAGGCATACAAGGAAAAAAAAGACAACCAGCAGCTTTGAGCGCCTCGCGGTCCGTCAACACACGAGGTGGGAAGGGAGACAACGCAGAGAAAAAAAGCAAACAAAAAGCAAAGGAAAAGGAGAAAGAAATAAAAGAGGAAAAAGGAAGTTCAACAAAGGAAAAACACAAAGGAAAGGCAAAAAGAAAATCAAAATAACGAAGGAAAGGGGAAAAGAAGATAATATCAAGGGAGCACACAGCATAAAATGGAAAAGGAAAGGACAAAGAAAGGGAAGGAAAGGATGAAATCAAAATAACGAAGGAAAGGGGAAAAGAAGATGAGGAAAGATCACGAACGAAAACAAAAAGAAGCACACATCACAGAATGCAAAAGCAAAGGTCAAAGGGCGGAGAAAAGAAGCATAAAACGCAAAAGGGAAGGATGTACTAGTGTCTACTAGTATGTTAGTATATCAAGCGATCACCAACAAGAAGCTGTACTAGTAGATACTAGTATGGTACTAGTGTCTACTAGTATGTTAGTATAGATGATAAGGGTTGGATGAGTGTTAGCATACTAGTATACTAGTATGTCAGGTATGGGTCTGATGTGTGGGATGAGTGTTAGTGTACTAGTATAAGTGTTAGTGTACTAGTTTGTACTAGTACACTACTGTGTTAGTCGTGTTAGTGCGAAAAGGGTTAGGGTGAGCTACTAGTATGCATACTAGTATGATTTCCTTATGTTAGTTGCTGCGCTAAGGGGGTCCACGTACTAACAAATTTGACCGTACTAGTGGTAGCGCCAAGGGTGGTTCATATATGCGTGATCGAACGTTTTGTCTGCCGCACGTGTTGTTCCATAAAGACGCAAATGGGCACTAGCCCAATTCGCGGACGTAGCTTTTTTGCAGGTCCATTTTCTAACGTTTGGAATTCGCTGCAAATCGGCATAGGGATGCGTCAGGATGGGAGACGTGCACTCCAGAAGGTTTCGGGAGGTCCAAAACGTTGGAAGGCAATGTGAGCAACAGGTACCAGCCGCCGCATAGAAGTTGGGCCGGGCGCAGTTCCCCTGCGCTTCTAAAATACGGGGCATGTGAAACCCAGGGGTAGCCAAGGGAAACCTAGGTGAGCCGGGCTCGCCGCCCTGGTCTCTGCAGGGTGTCCCGCAGTGCTGCTCGTTTCGTCCGAATGAATGCCATGTGTGTTCGTGAGGACGCTCGAATGAATGAATGGATCTTGAGCAGCGATTGATTGACGTACGTAGTGCCAAACTCGGCGGCGGCATCGCCATCGCCCAAATCCTCAGGCACTGCACACAGACAGGACTGCGGCATCCCCACCGCTTGCTCCTGTGTGGGCTCCCACAGGTCGATGCTCTTCCCAATCCAGGTGCCTGCTGTCGAAGACAAGCGGCATGCCCGACAGCTGCTGCCCTCGCACAGATCATGGCCCTCTTTCCAGTGAGACCTATCCGCCTGCCTCACCACCTCAGCAGAGGGCTTGTTTTGACTTGTAAGCACTTAAAAGCGCACGTGTTTGTATTTTCTTTTCTTTTCTTTTTTTTTCTTTTTTCTTTTTTCTTTTTTCTTCTCTTTTCTCTTTTCTTTTTTTTTCTTTTTTAAGGCGACCACGGTGTCGCCTTCCCAGAGATTGTCCGTGTGTCTGTGAGAACGCGTATAAAACTGTTGCGTATGCACACACATACACACACACATACACATAACGTCCGGCACTCATCGATGGAACCCCCGCGAACGCGGGTTGACGAACGGCTACGAGGAAGTAGGGGCCCCTCGTAACGGAAGGCGATCGGAAAGGGACACCTTACGGAACTGCCAGGATCGAAAGGTACACACTAACATTAATTAGCTCGCATAGCTCGCACCGCTCGAACCGCTCTCTCCAAAAGGCAGATGGGTAGTGTCAGGATTGCCAGCTTGGTTGGTTGGTTAAGGGTTTGACGAGACACCTGTCCCTAAGCCCGGCGCTACCTTCCGGCGCAACCAGGCATCTTCTCTGTCCACAGCACACACCAAACAGGCAACAGGCACATGCAGAATGCATGCACAAGGCCTATCTGCCCTTCCCATGGAGCAGTGGGTGCTAGTCTGACAAGTCAGCGTCAAGCACCCACTGCTCCATCTCATGCAACTCATATATGAAGTCATACTCACCATCAAACTGACTGGGTGG